CCAGCACTGTTCCCATTCCCCCAATTCCCCAATAAAAATCTTAAAACAAAAAACAAAACAAAACAAAAATTGTCTTCTACATTGCTGTCAGACTGATGCACCAAAAATGCAAATCTGGCCATGTCACTTTATGGCTTAAAGCTCTTTACTGTCTGCCTGCTAACTAAGAATAAAGTCCAGGATCCTTAGCACCACCTCTAGGCCCTCAAATATGTGATCCTCTCCAACCTCAGTCTCATCTTCTGACTCACACTTTACTCTGAATAACACTTTACTCTCCGGCAGTACAGTAAGTCCCCAACTTATGAATGAGTTCCATTCTGGGCGAACGTTCTGTAAGCCGGATTCGTTCGTAAGTCGGATTTGTTCGTAAGTTGGGTTCATTTGTAAGTCTGACTCATTTGTAAGACCGACTCGTTCTTAAGTCCGACAGTGAGTCTTTGTGCTTCCTAGCAGTCCCCTCCACAGCACCATAGCTTTTCCTCTTGCTTCCGGACATCCTGGGCTCTGATTGAGCACTGTACTACTGTACACTATCGCACTGTACAGTAAGCACACAGCAGCACAACTGTGACAATGTCCGGCAGACATGTGAGCTACTTCCGCGATTGGTTCGCAACTCGAATGTTCGTCAGTCAGGGACTTACTGTATTCTACTGTTTGTCATTATCTGAGCATGATATGCCACAACACGCCTTTGATTCAGTGTCATATTCTGGGAAGCATTCTTGATTCTACACCCCATATATGTCTGTCATAGCACTTACCAGTTTGTGAAAATGATTTCTATAACTGTGTCCACAAAGGTCTGTAAAAAAAGCCATTAATGGTAGGTACTCTGCTGAGTCCAAAGCTTGCATCTTTCTACCTCCAGCGTTTGGTATGGCACTGGGTAAACTAGTCTTCAGATAATGATTTTAGAAGCACTGAAGTAAAAGAACACATAGGAATAGAACCTGTTTAGATGGGGTTGGGAGATATGGAATGAGAAGAATCAGGAAAACCTTTGATCCAAAGTCGTAACTGAGCTAAATCTCAAAGGAAGAGGACAAACTCAAGACCAGGGAGATTAAAAGGCATGCCAAATAGAAGAGTACAGGGGGAGGGGCTGTCTTTGAAAGCCACAAGACACAGCTTCAATACAAAAGGACATATTTCATAATAAGTAAGTTTATTATCTTACGAGATAATACTAGTGGGAATCTCAGATTTTAGGCCCATGATTTCAGAAAACAGTATAAAATGATTACCAGATCCCTTTGGATAATACATTTATATAAGGACAATAAATTTAGTTCAAAAGCATTACTCAACATATAATTCAAACAATTACTTTCTAAATGTATATTACCTTATAGTGGCTCACTACTGAAACTCATTTTCAATTTTCTGCCAATAAGGCTTGAATGACTTTCCTGCAGGTGATCTGTTGACTTGGCATTTATTCATTTGAAAAAACTTAGCCTTGTATGTAGATTTCATTACCTGGCTCGTAAGTCATTTCCAAATAGAATTTTAGAAATGGAAGGCCCCTTAGAGATTACCTAGTCCAAAAAGCTGATTTTACAAGCAAGGAAATTGAAACACTGAGGGTGATTTGTCCAAGGTTCTATATCCTGAGGGCTCCACTTGACTTTTGTACACAGCGCTGTCAGGTCTACCCTCACCCTGCTGTCATCTCTTTAGTGTGTGATGGGTGTGCTGATTCCAGTTCTTGTTTATTCTCAGCAAATTTGAATGACAAAATACCTCCTTCCAAACTGTGGTGAAAATGATTGGTTTCCCCTTATTCACTTGCATATTTTGTGGGTTCCTTAATAAACTTAGTCAAGTTCTTGGTGCGAAGTACTTGGTTAATTTTTTGTTAAAAATTCCACCAGTATACCTACTATTTACAAACGTTTCCTTCCAAAGCCAAAGTCATTAAGTAAAACCACACACTCCCACCAAATGTTTCTTTTAACTACTTGACCTGGTGGATAAGACCTCACCAGTGTGAACCAGATGTTGTTCTCAAGTTTATAGGATGAGTACTTTTTCTAGGCCGGTGCCTAAAAATTAGACAGTTACTGCTTGAGAGGCTTAGTGTTTTGTGATTTGTACAATAACCAAGGCTGTACTGGGTCTACCCATTACAGGGCTAGCCAAAACATAGAGAAGGGGTGTGCGCGCGCTACCTAACCAGCTCTGTTCTAGGCTTTGCTTTTAGGAAACCAACCCATAGGTTGGCCAGTCACCAAAAGTGAGACCTGGTGTAATGAAATGAGCTGGTCTTGTCAGATTCTTGTTTTGGGAATATAGATAGAATACACCAAATCTAAAAGGATGCAGAGAAAAGCCCGTAAGATACATACAGTAATGTTAGGTCAGAAATTATAGGGAAGCAGAAAAGAAAACAGAGGCTCTGAAGTTCACCAAAGATATAGAGAGTAAAACGAAAGAATAAGGGGGCTCAAGAGCCTGGAGGAGAATGCGGCAGGCATGGAAAAAGCTGTGTGCTACATTAAGGATTTAAAAGTTTTGACTCTCACTCTCCTGCTAAGATCCTAAAAGTTGGATCTCCATCGGTGAGGCCTTGATAAGCATTTCAGCTCCTGGAAGTCTGTGACCGTTTTCCCCTTACCACTACTTGTGTCTCCCTACTTCCAATCCTCCCTCTTCCCCCTGCCCCCACCAATATCCCAGGTAGAACGGATTTGATTCTTGCAACCATAAAAGCTAATTAAGACGCCTAGGAAATGAAAGGAGTGGGTAGAGAGAGACTTCAGCTTCTGTACATGTGCTACTGATTGGTCACTTATATCGTCCACTCTTCCAATTCTGTGGGAAGTTCTATATATGCAATAAACTGGTCCTAACTTAAGCACTTGCAGCTTTCACGTTCATCCTTCTTATGGCAGAAACACATCACTAACCATGCTCCCAGAGCACGAACAACGGTATCCGACTTGGGGAGGGGGGACGTCACAAGATTTGTCTCTGATACAATGAAGAAGCCCCCTGCTGTTCCCCGCGAGGTTACAGAGGGCCACACTTGCCAGCAGGGGTGTGCTTTTCGGTGGCGGAGCCTTCTCGTCACGGTTCTGAGAACCCCGGCTCGGGACAGGGGTACCCCGTACCCTGAGACAATCCCGTGCAGCCCGCGCCCCCGGACCTCCCGGCCCCCGCGCCCGTGGGATCACCTGTAATTGTAGGCGCTGAAATGCTTGCTCTCTCTCAGCATCGCCCGGTACAGATCTAACACTTGTGCGCGGCTGGAGGCTGCCATTTTGGAAAGAAAAAAATAAGCGGGTCCTTTTCGCGGAGGTCCCAAGTTTAACGCAACTACAAAATTTCAGCTTATGCAAAAACCACGAACGAAATAAAATGCAGTGAGGTTCTCTCGCTAGCGGGCCCGGGCCTCAACCTAGGTGAGCACCCGCCCGCTCCTCGGGCCGCTACGGACCGCGCCCGGCGTCGCGCGCGGCGACGGAGATCGGCGCAGGCGGGTTTTGGGCAGCTAAGGGGGAGGTGCCCACGGGGAGGCGTTCCCGCTCGTCGCCCTGGCCCGGGAGGCTCCCGCCCGTAGCAGCGCTGGGAGCCGGCCGAGGGTGGGGAGCAGCAGGGGTCGCCGAAGTGGCTGGGCTGGACCACGGGGCTGAGACCTGGGGGCCGCCTGTGCAGCGAGCCACGCTCCACGGGGAGGGAGGTTTGAGCGCTGAGGGCGTGCAGCCACTCAGGGAGTGCCTTCGAGAACTGCCCGCGGTCACGGCGAGGGCATTGAGTTTCGGAATGCAACTCCAGGTTGCGCCTCCGCTGGGCGCGAGGCTGCGTTGCCCGGGTAACCGAGCGCGTGCCTGGCCGACGCCCCGCCCCCGGGCGCGAATGCCGTGCCCCTGCCTGCAGGTGCCCGCCCCTTCCTTTGCTGCCGGCCTCGGCGCTGCCTGAGAAGTCGTGCGGAAATCCAGCGTCCCTTAGTTTAGGCTTTGCGTCGGCTGCTCTGTGTGTATGGGTCCCGAGTGCGGACCACTCACTACACGCGGCACCGAGGGCGCGGGGCGGCTCAGGCGACGGGTCAGGGGTTGTCTGGCGCTCCGGCTCCTCTCAGGGTTACCGGCTAAGGGGCCTCACGGGCAAGGTCCGCTTTCTTGTTAAAATGGCAGCGCCTGGCATGCTCCGCATGTACCTCTGAAGTGGGGATGAGAACCTTCCCTGGAAGAGGAAACGAGCCTGCCGCGTTTTAGATTTTGAAACACCCCAGGTCTGGGTCTCCCGGGCGAGCTGTGGGTGAGTGCCGGTCTCGCTGCAGCGTGGGGTGCGACGTGGGTGGTTGGTGTGGGGAGTTACTTCGCCATCGATTTTTCCCCATTATGGGGTTTTTGTTGAACTCGGGGGGTTTTGCTTTTGAGCCATGAGCCACTTAAGAGTTTTGTTATTTAATAAAAGCATACAGAAAAGGTGGGGTGGCCTGGCTGTAGGCGTGGGTGATAAATTGGGGGAAACTTGAGTGATGTCAGCACTCTGTTGAGGTCTTTTCAGACCCAAGCAAGAAGCCTAGCAAGTTTTCTCTTAAAGCTTTTCGTGACTTGAGTTTTCTCCCGTGGCCTTTCTCTGAAGACGTCAGCTTTTCTGAATTACCATGTTCCAGTGGTGGATAAAGTTGGTCGTTCTGGTCCTTGCACCAGGACTGGGCGCAGGGAAGGCTGATCTAGTTCTAGTTATTGCATTTGCAAAGCACTTGCCTTTGGAATCTTCCAGTATATAATCAACGTTAGAAGGAGCTACAGTTTTCTACCCCCAAACAACACAGCAAGGAGTAACTTTATAAGTAAAAAACAAGTTTCCATCTTTCTCCAAGCACTGAATTATGGTTTTGTTAAATTTCTTGTTTATTTTATTAAATTATCTGGTTTTGAAATGACACTTGCTTTAAGCAACCTCGTATTTAAGAGCCGGAAACACTGACCTTACCATACTTGCAAATATATTTGTTAGATTACCGGTTATAATGCAGTGACATTTTTTAAAAGGCATGGAAGAGAGAACACTTTTATTAAAATCCTTTTAAGTTTCCTATTTGATTTTTATAAGGCCTCATACATCAGTGAGTCTAAAAATAAGGTGTTTTGGTTTTTGTTTTTTTTTTACAGTGTAGCCAGACTTATTTCACTCTTGCAGGTTGATCATTGGGCAGGTCTTGCCTTAGGTTTTGTTCAAAGGGCTTTTAACATTTTGAGTTGATCCTTTGTCATTTAATGGATTCAAGACCAAGGAAATTTGCACATTATTATAGAGTAAAATCCACAACAGCTTTCTGTTAATATACATGACACACTGTTGAGTGCTGATAATATAAAATGATGTGTGACACCTGGAAAAACTATGTAGTGCAAGTTAAAAATAGAAAAAGCTATCAAAAAAGAAAAAACATGAAAACTATTTTGCCTTGTTTAAAAATAGTGTGTGTGTGTGGGGGCGGCTGAGTGGCTCAGTTGGTTAGGAGTGGCTCAAGAGTGAGAGCTCTGAGCAACAGCGGTTCGAGTCCTGGCCTGAGCTGAGCAGCCGCTGAGCTGCCAACAAGTGGCAGGATGGCTCAGCTAGAAATAAAATAAAAATAGTGGGGATTGTATTATTATATTTTGCTTTCATCTAGAAAATGAAGTTGGAATTATCCTTACTGTATACAGTTGTTTATGTGTAATTATCAAGCAATTTAATCACTAATGTATATAATTAATGTATTTAAATGACTTTAACTTTTTGTAATCAAATAAAACTTTCCAAATAAATATATAAATTTAGTTTGTTTGGGTAGCTGAATCACCTGTTAGTACAAGATTAGGAAAGTGGTAGCTTCCCAGTTGATTAAAGGTAAGTCCTCACAAAAATACTTTTATTTGAAATAATTTACCATATGTTAGATATCATTGCCTTGAAAGACTAAGAAAAAATAATCACATTCCAAAGCTAAATCTCTACTTTAGTACATCTTCATTACAGAGATTACTATTTTCAATAATAGCTCTATTTGAGGTTGAAAGTGGAATTGGGCTAGAAGCTGAGAATGGATCTTACTCATATGTCTTAATGTGCATGTATTCTAGGCTGAGTATTCTCTTAGGTAATGACTATAAACTAGGGGGTATCCATTTCTTACCATTTAGGCCTCAAAATGTAAATATTTCCTTAATATTCACCTACACATAGTTATGAAATGTCTATAGTTCTTTACCTACCTATGTAAAATGATATATTACTTTGTATTAAAATTAGGATTGCTAATGAGCACTTAATGCTTTTTTTTTTTTTTTTAAGCTGAGCCATTCTGCCACCTGTTGGCTGGCAGCTCAGCGGCAGCTCAGCTCGGGCCGGGAATCAAACCGGCAACCCTGTTGCTCAGAGCTTGCACTCTTGAGTGAGCTCTTTATCAACTGAGCCATTCGGCCGGCTCCACTTAATGCTTTTTGAAGAGAAATTTCTCCAACCATAATAAGCAATATAACAGCAACTTACCATCTTTTGGCTTAAATATTAAAATGATGTGTACATGAAATCTTGTATAAATCAGCAACTTGTGATATTATGACTTAGAAATTATTTCATTCCAAACATGGATCCAAGTCTTTATTATACATGATCATTATTGGATTTTATTCTTCATTCTAGTAAAGTATGACGCTAGAAGAGACCTTGGACATCAACTCAGTTATTTTTACAGATGAACAAACTGAAGTCTTTTTCTCATTCATTCATTCATTCATTCAACATTTATTGAATACATCCCAAGTGCCAAACATTATATGAGGTGATGGAGTTCAATGATGGGAGTCACCCTCACCTCCCAGAAACCAGTGGGACCTAGATAAGCAAAGTAATAATTTATTTTTGACGGGTGCTGATAGGGGTAATATTACCAAGTGTTAGGGGAGTACAAAGGAGAGACGTTTGACTAGGACTTTGACCTAAGGGAAGGCTTTCCATCATAGAAGGTATTTTCACAATGAGTAGTAAGACCCAGATGAAGAACGTGGTACGTTAGAGATTGTAGTGTACATTCAAAGCTTGGGGGCATGAGGAAGCATGATCCTTTTAGGGAACTTTAAGCAGTGGGAAGTGGGGCGAAGGAGAAGGAGGGAGGGAAGAACCATCTGTGAGACCACAGATCTGATTAGCCCTGTTCCTGCTTTATTTTAATGATGTTTTCTCTGTTTGGGATTCATCATCTCTTATACATTGATACATTGACTAGTTCACATAAGTTCTAGTAGAACTTAACTGCTGAGCTAGTGAAATATAGATTAGTTTTTCAGGTGGTGGTAGGCTTTTGTTTCAAACCATATTTCTGAATGCTACATTCTAAGAATACTGAAATTCTATTTCTTTACCTCCGCATTCAACAGATAATTGACTATCCTGGTAGTTCAAGTTGCTGCTCTTGTGGATACTTGAGCATATGAATCAAATATCGATCCTGTTTTCCAAGAGTGTAATTTAAATACAATTTGCATGTAATTAAAATAGGGGGTAGAAAGCACAAAGTCTTGCAAGGGAAGTACTGGTGCAGTGCTATGGAGTCTCAGAGAATGAAGAGGTCACTTCCATAGCTGATTCCTGGGCCACAACTCAGACCAACAAAGCATGGCTGAGGTCCTTTAATTGCTTGAGGTCCCGGCTTCAAGAAATTAAAAAAAAAAAAATTCCCCAGGTGACTGAATACAGCCAGGGAAGAGAAACACTGATCTGTGGGCATTAGGGGACTTTATGGAGGAGGTAGTGTTGGGGTTGGGCTTGAGAGGATCTAGGCTTGAGCTGGGACTTGAACGGAATTATAGGGTTTGGATATGTGGGTGTGATGGTAAGATGGCTACTTCAGGAAGGTTTATCTTTGGAAAGGGTAAAAGGGGGCCTGAGTGAGGTCTAGGGAAAAATAATCTCAGCCTAGAAAAGGAACACTGTGGGTGGGCCTTGTCTAGAGGAGAGCACATGAGGGCAAGTACCAGAGATACAGCTGGTAGACACCAGCTGAGTCCTTGTATGATCTCTGTTAGTACTTCAGAGACCTGCTGGGAAAGCTTTTATCTCCACTGAAGGGAAGGGAAGCTGAGAGGTTCAGTTATTTAGCCAGTTGTACAGCTGGAAGCTGTAGGGTGGCCCTTGGCCCTGGAGGTGATCTGCCAGCTATGATGCTACACTACTGATCCATGCTACAGGAGGTCTTCAGTGCCAGCTTCAGGAATCTGAAGTTAACTAGTTTTTCTTGGGTGACATGGGTAAATTTTAGTCATATTTGAAATTTAATTGGATTCTCACTTATTTGTAAAGCCAACTGGTTTGTATAGGAACTATTACAAATATTCAGAGATTCTCATGTTGATTTTTATGCTAGCTTTATAGTCTCTTTAGATAAATTTACATTTAAAAAAATTACATCTGAGGGCCGGCCAAGTGGCGTGTTGGTTAACAACTGGCTTGGGACGCCAGCTCTGAGCAGCAGGGCCCCGGTTCGGATCCCACATGGGGGCCAGTGACACTGCCCTCTACAGCTAAGATGGTGAACAACAGC